GAACTGTTTACAGTTAAAATAATCCTTTTTTTATATTTACACGCCTATATAAATAAATATAATGCAAGCTAACATTTATTTCATCTTTATGTTATGTTTGTAAAACACAAATCATTTCACGTCAAAATATCATGCATACATGTTTTTACAGAGTGGCTTAAGCGGCATGGGTATGTTATAAAACACTTTATTAATGACTTGATTTTTTTTTCTATTTCAGATCTTGGATTATACTATAAGTTGAAGTTTGAATTGCACACATATAAATATATATAAGTACATCTTATCTTCAAGCAATTGACAGATTCAAACTTAACAAAGAAAAAAGTGTTTATAGTATCAAGTATGAGTACCTGACATTGATAGAGTAAATGCAGATCAGTATTTTCTACGGTGAGAACTCAATGATCATCAGAAACAAATCTACAAATCTTTGACAAGTCACTATGAATCATATCTGCAATGATTCATTCACTTGTGGTGTTTGTAGCAAAGAATTAAGTTCAATTTGCCTGCTTCACCAGCATTTAACAGGACACAGTTCAGGTGGATCTTATCATTTTGATAATGTGCTCAGAGTTGCATTCCCAAAATATGACTCAACATGTGCGTCAACCCAGACACCAAGGCAACAAGATTACTTTCTAGATGAAAGGTTTGCAGCAAAAGTTGGTCTTCTTGAAGATATTAAAGAGAAAAGGGTGAACAATGCTAAGAATCATAGAAGCAAGGATACAGAGGCTGTTAAATTTGTGAAAGAACTAGAGAAACCTTTTAAAAATGTAGTAAGAGTTGAAAATAACAGCGCTGGCTTAAGCTCTGCAAATACCAGTAATAGAGATTTAGCTGAAAAGCAACAGATAAGGGAATGTGCTAGCACAGAAAATGAAAGCAAGTTTGCAAGTAAAGGGAGCAAACTAAGTAAGAAAATGGACAAAAATTCTGAAAAACTTATTCTTAAAGCACCTGATATTGATATGTCCAATTTTGTTAATGATAACGATGACAATACTGTTGGAGATAATGATAATGTTGATAGTGATAACAGTAATGATGAACAGAATATGTTTAGAATTCCTAACAGTTTTCCTTATAAAAGAAGAAAGAGAATGGCTGTGTCAGATCTAGTGGACAAAACAATGAGAAATAAATCTGGAAAAGAAACAGTTTTGAAAAGGTTTACTAAAAAGGAAAAGAAAAAGCCAAATAAAATTAAGACTGAGGTTGGAAGTCTAGAAACAGAGTTCTCCAATGGTGATGAATCTGATTGTGATAAAATTGATACTGTTCATGATAACAAGAATAAGACTGATTATTTGGAAGACAATAACTATTTCTATGGAAAACTCATTTCAAAAAGTTTTACTATTGAAAGACAGAAATGGGATGAAATACTAGGTAAAGGTGAGATGAAAAGTGAGCCTGACCAGATTGTTGTTGATGGTACATGGTATCCGGAATTTGAAGAAAATTATTCTTTGATTCCAATTGAAAAATCTGGTCATGATGAATTAGATCATTCAAAAATGAAAGCGTTTTATGGGATAGACACTAATGTTGATCTACCAAAAGAAGAATTTAAAAAAATGAAAAAAGAGTGGAGGAAGGAGCAAAAATCAGAACTAAATTGTAGTCAGTGTGGCAAAACATTCAAGCATGTCCGTCATTTTGAAGGTCATATGAATTTTCATGCTGGCTTAACACCTTTTATGTGTCAGTATTGTGGAAAAGCTTATGCAAATTTGACTTCACTACAGATGCATGAGAAACTAATACATTCTGATAAAAGTACATGGTTACGATGTCCTGTATGTGAGAACAGTTTTGCTACACCTGGACGACTTCGAACTCACCAGCTTACGCATTCTACCGATTATTCATATATATGTAACATATGTAATAAATCATATAAAAATCATACACTTTTAAAACGTCATCAATCATACGCACACAATAACAAACAACACAGATGTCAAAATTGCAGACTGTCATTTCATACTCTTGAGGAACGTGACATACACCAGTGTACAAAACATAATAAGGAGATGAAATGTGAGACTTGTGGAAGGCAGTTTACGAGTGAGAGAAGTAAAATCAGACATGAAAAAATTCATTTAGGTGTAAAACCACACGAGTGCCATATATGCCTACGAAGGTTTCTTCAAAAAACACCATACTGGGTACATATGGAGAAACATCATGACTTGACGAAGACCGATTTGATCAGGTTGTTTCCGGAGAAACATTTGGGCCCGAACCATCAACATCTGATTAAAGAGATGACCCCTACAGACAACTTAGACAAACCTGATGAAATTTCTGACGATTCTTTTGTTGATGAAGAAATTTCTAATGACCCTTTTGTTGTTGATGATGAAATGCTATTTGCTTCACCAGTGAATTTGACAAAATTATAGTAAACTAAATTTTGATAAGAATAAATACTAAATAACTGTGTTTCTTTCTTATGGTCAAATCTTAAGTTATTTAGATGATGTTTATTCAAAGATTTGTCAAAGTATTTTACTCTACATTGACAGTGTTGATATAGAGGTCACCCAAGAGGTCACTTAATTTATATAGACTTACATTTGCATTTATTTTTTTTTTAAAGTTCAAAAATCTTGGCGGAAGCATTAATCATAAAAAAAATTAAATGAAAATTACAGACTCGGTTTAATCGCATCTTAACATCAAAAAGTGCAACAGCTCTGTCGGCTTTATGGATGTCATGTTTATTCTAGATATCGTAAAAATTAGAAACTGCACAACATTCTGAATTATTAGAGCTCGCCAATGATTGGCTGTTTGAAAGGTCACAAGGTCCTCCTAATGATGCCCCTCAGATCCTTATGCATAGTGTTAATGAGGAGCTGATATATATCAGATTGTGATATTATATAGCATCACCCAGTAATCTATAGAAATTTGATGAATCATGCACCACTTAGGTATAAAATGTTCCCAGCTTGGAGGTCATGTAGCTTCATAAGAATAATTAACTTAAAACATTTTCCAGACAAGTTTCTTGATTTGGTCCCTTTCCTTATTGAAATGCTATTTTTTATTACTCAAACAAATGTACATTTACTGCCCTATCTATGCGGTGCTCTTGTATATGAAATAACAAATTTTTCACCTATCCGAAAATTTCCTGCATGACTTTTATATTCTATGAGGAACTGAGAAGAGTTGAATATATTGAAGTTAACCTATAGCTCAGTGCTTCTTATGTAAAATTCTTCCAAGTATAATTTCCAATAACCGTAAATTATACCATACCCAGACTATGGTATAATTTTCAGTTTTGAAGATCGAAGGAGTAAGTATTTCTGGGCGGAGCTATAGGTTAAAACAGATACACCATTGGTGGGATGACGATTTCTGGGTTTGCGTAAATTATACCATAATCACTTAACTTTTCTTATGAATCCTCACTCGACTTCGTCTCATGAGGTTAAGGCATAAGAAAGGTCCTGTGATTATGGTATAATTTACGCAAACCCAGAAATCGTCAATGCAGCAATGGTATATCTAATACATGTTGATGAAATCTGTTAAGTTAGTGACAAAAAAACCTTTATTTTCAGTTTTGAAATTTTATTACTAAAATATGTGCATTATTTTATCAAACTATAACATAAAAAAACAGTCCAGTATAAAAATGAATGAATCAAATGTAAATCTATGTGTAAAAGTGAACAGAAAAATTCTAAACAATCTGACTAGAAATATTAGACAAAAGTAAACAACCAGTTCTATTAAACATAATAAAAGTAAACTAATTATGGCATTATGTAACAAAGGGTAAAATTAGGTTAATAGATTAATAAAAATTAAGTACATGATCAATATACAAAATTCTAATGTAAAAGTGATATTGACATTATAATTTATGTTTATTTTTGTAATGTCAAGCCGAGATAAATTTGATGTATATTTTTAAAGATTGACTATTTTAATGGTGGATGTACAATAATTGTTAGTTACAAATATTCAATAGGATAAAATAGAAAAGGGACTGTGCCACTCTTTTATAAACTGAACTTTTTCAATAATTTCCAAAAGATATTTATCAATATTTTTGTTGGTCACTGGAATTATAAATTACTCAGGCAACATTTTTTTATTAATGTCAATTTATTTTAATTTTACCTGAACACTCACCTTTTACTCTTAAATAGGCATGATGTCACATGGAATTATATTGTCAATAATAGAAAAAGGGTCTGTAGATGTAGACGGAATTGAAATGTGAGGTTATAAAAATTTTACAGATATTCTCCAGGACAGAAATGTCTTCTATATGAGTTTTGGATAGTGTATAAAAGTACAGCAAAAATTTAAAGCTTTTAAGAAATAAAAAGAAAAGTAATAGTAATATACTATTTACCACATTAGTTAAGCAAGTAAGTAAATCATAAATAACTGCTGTTAGCCAAAGTAATACCTTCAATGTTACAAAAATATTAATATCAAGTTAAAAAAGTATAACACTATATAAACATGTTCAACAATATATAGAGGATATTTGTTTGTTTTGCATGTAAGATTGAAATATAATTTCACTGTAATATTTTCACAAGTGGCGTAGCCACGAGTGAAAATAGAATAGCTGGTGCTCACAAATGAAATATATTTCAATCTTATATGTAAAACAAATTAATTTTCTTTTAATTTCATGCTTTTTAAGTGATTTTATGTATTTTTCACTGATTTTGCCGCGTAACGTCCCACACGATGTATGGTGACGTCGACTTGCTTTTTCTAAAGAAGCCAAATTTACGTATGACAGCATTTATGTTTGCCTACTATTTCATTTAGTTATGATTTTTCTTTTCATACGCATTCAGATATAGTCCGGCTACAGTGAAAATGATATTTAATAAAATTTCACTAGTGGTTTATCAGAATATAATCATCTGATATATTGCAATAAAACACTAGAAAGCATGAAATAAATGTCTACAAGCAAACTTTTTATCTATTAATATGTCCAACAATATATGTCTTAATATGTCTACAAGCAAAATATTTATCTAACAATATATGTCTGCAAGCAAAATTTTTATCTAACAATATATGTCTGCAAGCAAAATTTTTATCTAACAATATATGGCTACAAGCAAATTTTTTATCTAACAATATATGTCTACAAGCAAAATTTTGATCTAACAATATATGTCTACAAGCAAAATTATTATCTAACAATATATGTCTGCAAGAAAATTTTTTATCTAACAATATATGTCTGCAAGCAAAATTTTTATCTAACAATATAATATCTGCAAGCAAAACTTTTATCTAACAATATATGTCTACAAGCAAAATTTTTATCTAACAATATATGTCTGCAAACAAATTTTTTATCTAACATATGTCTGCAAGAAAATTTTTTATCTAACAATATATGTCTGCAAGCAAAATTTTTATCTAACAATATATGTCTGCAAGCAAAATTTTTATCTAACAATATATGTCTACAAGCAAATTTTTTATCTAACAATATATGTCTGCAAGCAAATTTTTTTATCTAACAATATAATGTCTACAAGCAAAATTTTTATCTAACAATATATATCTGCAAGCAAAATTTTTATCTATCAACTAAATAATACATGGAGTATTTTTGCTATTTCTAACATACATTAGCAGGCAGTTAAGCTTGTACTGATATACATGTAAAAGAATGAAGTTCAGTTCTTACAAAAATGAAAAATTGATTTTCATAATTTTAAATACACACTACTTTGCAAAAAAATGATACAAGTTGAATTACAGAAGCTTGTTATAAATTGTACAGTGATCAGAAGTAACAGGTGCTTGTGCTCATACTTAACCATACACATTGAATTGCATAGACTCAGAATAAATGCTTAAGTTGTGTACCCACTGTTAAATAACTGCAAAATCAGAAATTTTTGTGAGGGATTTAATTTTAATTTCTTTTATTACTAAAACTTAAGAATACTTGAACCTCACTTGAGTCAACTAACTGGAACTAACCAGTACTGGTATTACAAGCACTTTACCTAGGTGCAATAATGGGTAAACTCCTATTAAATGTTATAAGGAGTTAACCAGTTACTGCATAGCCTGGGTTCCAGTCTGTCGATTTTTATGAGCTTCTGTTCAGCAATCAACATTATGAAAACACAAATGAGTATGAAATAGCGCATATGTTATGAATAAGCAAAAATATCAACGCCTGAATCCCAGGATAGTTACTGCACTAAGGTTACAATAATGAAGTAAGGTTGTATCCCAAAGTAAGGTTTCGGGATATTGATCCCTTGCTTGAGAGACAGACATGACTACTAGTAAACCACCCCCACCCTAACTCCCCACCCCACTACCCCTCCCAACCGCCCCTCGTTGTTAGTCAATGGGTAAATAAAGAAAATATAATAATGTTACAGTAAATACTTGAAGACTTTAGCAGTATCACAGCAGTAAAACTCGAAAATGGCACTCAATTTACTTCCCCTTATTTTTTTACTTTACTTTATGACAAAATTTGAAGTATTTAAAGAACTACCCTGAATCTTATCAAATCCAACAAATATATAAATCTATAAAGCTGCGTTAACTCTTACCATGCTAATCACATGTACATATAACTGAAATGGACATGAGCACCTTTCAATCTGGACAAAACCATTCATTACTTTGGGGGAAATTTTCAAAATATACACTGACTGAATAGCCTACAGTGAAGACCATGATCAGACAGCACAGATGTGCCAGATGATCTTGGTCTGCATTGGTTGCATGCAGTCTTTGTCAGTCCACTGAAAGTTAAGCTATAGCAAGTCAACAATGAATCTGGTAAAAAATGCCGAGATCGTCAAAAAACAGAGTAACAAATCTGATTGTTGTAAGCTTGTGGCCGCATCAAACACTGTGGGGTCGTATTTGAAACAGTATTTACTATTGACCACTTTGAAATTCTGTGTCTCACAAAATGATGTACCGTTTTTATATGATTCCCCTGAAATGAAAATTAAAAACAATTATACAATGTATACTCATTTCACTATTATTATTATTATTATAAGGGAGTTTAAAATTTACCATCTTCCTGGGTGAAAACTGTTTAATATTTCCTTTCATCTCAAAAATCGATCCCTAACCACTTTAAATATCTGAAGTGGACAAGTCCATCTTTCAATCTAGACATGGCAGAGAAACTGAAAGTTTCAAATATTTATTGCTGATAGCCCAGTTTTTTATGCTAAAATCCATTAAACTCCAAATGGACTATTCCAAATTCAAAGGAGGGCAAATCCTACATACAAATTCAGCAGGTTCTGGTTTGAAATACTAACTTTTATATTAAAATCCCTTAAACTCCACATGGACTGTTCCACATTTAAAGGATGGCACATCCATTACAAAAATACAGCAGATTCAAAGTCAGCCATGTAAAAGATAATTGCTGCTCCCTTTATTTTCAACTCAAGAATTTTACTTTAAAACGGGGGCTTTATTACCGTAAAATTCCTATTAAATGCCCCCGGAAAGGGGGTTATTATTACAACACGTTTTTCTTAAATCCAAAAATAATTGAAAATACATTTAGTGTAACATGGGTTGGTAATAACATTAAAATGTGTTAAGATTTTAAAGTTCATGTGATACATTTTTTACTATGAAATAAAATGAATTCTGAAGGATTTGAATAAAATTACGGATTTATTAAAGAGTTCACCACTCATGAGCAGATTTTTTTCCATATCAAAAAGCCTGGGTGGGGGGGCTTTTTTTAGGGGAGGGGCATTTATTAGGAATTTTATGGTAATTGCTTTGTGTCAATGAAACCAGTTTTTCAAGCTGTAAGTAAATTTAGGATCAACAATTCCAAATGAATTAATCATTTGTGTATGTAGTATAGAAATAAAGAAGTAAATATTGTTACCAATTCTAGTTCCATTGTAGAAAGCATCTTTGCAACTCGAGTATACTGACTGACAAAACTTCTCACATACATTTACCTTCCCACTGTAATGATAATGAAATAATACTTTTTATCAAATAATAGATCTACATTTGAGCCGCGTTTCAACAAAACTAACATAATGGGTTTGCGACCAGCATGGATCCAGACCAGCCTGCGTATCCGGATCCATGCTGGTCACAAACCCATTATGTTGGTTTTGTCATGACGCAGCTCATTTTCTTTAAACACATAGTATGCATTAGTTAGATTTTTAAACTGACAAAAAGACTTTTACACTGACAAGCACACTCAAATTTTCTCAAGGCTGGGAAGAATAATCATAATACAAGGAGCTAGATAGACTTACCTCAATACCTGCCCTTGACAGTGAAGAAATATTTCAAGTTTAAACTGCAATTCTTATATTTAGAGAAAAAGAACATAAAAAAATTAAGAAAATTCATTTCAATTTAATGTTTTGATGGTGAAATACTGGTACTCCAAGCTTAAAGTGTAAAGTATTATCTTTTATCTGTAGTTTTTAAGGGGAAAATTAAGGGGGAAATGTCATAAGGGGAAAAATTTGAAAAAAGGACATTTCTTTGCAAAAATTAATATGCAATGAACCTGAACAGTTAGAGTCAATACAAGCTGGCTAATTCCCATAAGTAATTTTCATCATCTGCCATTAAAACTTCATAGGCTTGTAACTTGCTATACTTTACTTTGCCTATGCTTATTGATGTAGTAGCTCAGTTGATAACTTGATACATTAGGTTTAATGATGTAGTCTGCTAGATAATGTAGAGCGTTACATGATGTAGATGATCAGATGATGTAGAAGATTAGAGGATTTATGTTAGATGATGTAGCAGGTTAGATGATGCAGTTAGACAGTGTAAAAATCAGATGATGTAGAATGTTAGATGATGTAGAAGGTTAGAGGATGACAATGTAGTAGGTTTGATTATGTAGTAGTTTAGGTAATGTAGTCAGTTAAATAATGTAGAAGATCAGATGATGTAGCAAGTTAGATAATGTGGAAGGTTGGATAATGTAGAATGTCAGATGATGTAGAAGGTTAAATGATGTAGAAGGTTGAATGATGTAGAATGTCAGATGATGTAGAAGGTAAGATGATGTAGAAGGTTAGATGATGTAGAATGTTAAACAGAATATTCTAGAAAAAAGACTTACTCTTTGTACCAATGGTATTGGTCAGGACTACAGAAGTAGCACATCATATAGTTGATATGATTACGACAATCTTTGCTTGCCATATACAGTGGTAGCATATTGGAGAACACAGAGGTTACTTCAGTCCTTTTACAGCATGCATTGTGTGAGTACCAGGAACAGTTTACCAATCCACCTTCAGCTTTCGCTACTCGAGTGTTTCCTAAAATCAAAATAACTGGAGATTTACTTAACCCTTAAAGCATACATGTAAGTAGGGCTGGAGGCTCCTATTATAGTTATAAAATGTACATGTAGAATCTAGTTTTCTTTTTCTTTTTTAAACTGCATTAAATATTATTGGATTGACCATCAAATGTATCTCTTTATAATTATTAATATGGTTAATGATCCCACAGCTGTTATTAAACAACTGTTAACAGTTAAAACTTTAAGACATGTAACTTACTGGGAATCAATTAAGTTAATTTGTAACTTATTTAATTAGCATCACCACTGGTGACACATGATTGTTTGTTAATTAAACCACAAAGAAACACTAGTTTTCCTTAAATTCATTATTTCGATCAGTTACCAATTGATTTTCTTTAATGTAAACTTGCCTTGTTAATATCATAATCAATATTTTTAGCCTGTAATTTTTGCATTTATTTACATAGAAAATGATCTAAAGCTTACCAAAATATGTGCACGGTTTTGTATCTTCATGGTATTCAATAACAGCATCTTTGCTTATAACGCAAGGTATCAAAACAATTATAAACAACAAAAAATATATAAAGCTGCCCCAGCCTCCCATATTTGTTACTATCGATCCCTTCTCGGCTATTTCCGTCACACTACGCTTAAATTTTTTCCGGAGGTTGACGGAAATGGCCGAACAACAAAAAGTCGGAAGTAAATTTGACACGTGACACATTCAAAATGGCAGCCTCCATCAAGAAACAGATGTGGAGAAAATTCAAGAGGAATTTAAAGCCATCAACTTTCTTTCGCTACCTTTTTGATCCAAATTTATGTGTTCCTGTTATGATTTTGCTATTCTTAGCTGAATGCTTCGTGTCAATATTTGTTATCAATAAGATAAAATGTAAGAAACGTTCTGAAATCATTTTTATTTTCTGCAAGTTTACTGTACTTTACAGTAAAGGGAGACAACCAGTACATACGTCTTTAGCAAATAGTCCAAATACCTCTTTTAAAAGTCTTGAAAATGATGTTTGGGCATCAGGAGGATTTAAGTCTATGGGCAGGGCTAGCATATTTCGAGACGTTTCGGCCCCAAACTACCCAAGACGTTTCGGCTTCTACCAAATCGGCCCCATAATAAGTACTGTATTTTAAACCGATATATTAATAGCATTTCATTAAAAAAATTAACCAATTAATATGAAATTAGGCAAAGCTTATGAGCGGGGAAGTCGTTAAAAATTCCTTTCATTCTTTCCGTTTTAAAGGTGTCATTCGGTATTATATGCATTGCTTCCGTTTTCACTCGGAACACTCGACCATTATCATTTATCCGAAAAGTTGAGATTTGTTCCGTTATCGGAATACCCTGCCTATTATCATTGCATTACATTGTAAATGGCGGCACCCGACTAGAACTGACACTGAAAATTTCATTGATAGGTATAGAATTCTATATATTTTTTAATTGTTTTTTATTTCATTTTCTTTTAAATATACACGTGTAGTCTATAGCCGGGCAAGCCAAAGCCTGGACCCGCTTCGCGGGCCCGGTCTTTGACTTCCCCGTAATATATATATTTAATCATTTTGTATAAAAACCAGATTATTATAGTAGTAGGGGGAAAGTAATCAATACAAACAGAACAGAACATAAACTTTATTTGAAAAAAATATAATACACAAACAAACAATTATCAACCATATATAGATAATATTTTATTTGAATGATTAAGAAGCAAGACACAAAACAATACCGCCAATTAGTATTAAGTATAAATAGTTAATTAGTTACACTTTGGAAAAAATTACGTATAGTTTAATTAAGATCAAAAGATAGTGTTTTCTAAGGAAAAATTGTAAGTAACTTTCTTAATCCAGAAGTTTTAGTGGTTTGTTTTCTAAGTAAGTAACCGGCCTTTATTGTTTGTTACACCTTTAAAAACATTAACGTATATCTAAATGGTTCAAGAGATCAAAAGATAATAAATAATTATTCCAAGAATTAAAGTGTCATAATTGTTTAATTGTAATTAAATTTATTGTTGTAAATCAATCAAGCAATACACTACAGTGGGGCCGAAAAAGTCTCGTGGAAAAGGGCTGAAACGTCCATGGGCCGATTTTTCGACTGGGGCCGAAACGTCCTGTTTGCGCCAAGCAGACCAGGTCTTTAACTTCCATGTATTATCATGGGGTCCACAATCATATTTCTACAAGCTCTGATTAACCAGTGTGTTAGAAAACTAAAATCAATTGAATGTCAAGAAAATTTCGCTACAGCATGTGTTTGTTACTGGTTGGGGACCTCCAACCGGACACTTTTTGAACATTTTAATTTCCATACAGATTTTATAATTTTAAAGCTAGAGATCTGAAAATTTTACACAGTACAGTTAGGTTCTTCTCCGACCAAACATATTAGTTTGTTTAATTCTGATTCTGTTGACACTTATATCTGAGGCCTGTGAAGGAGGGTATCAAATTGACCTGAATTGTCCACAATACAGTACCATGGCATGAGTCCGGACAGATATGTCCGTGATTCTGATTTAATTCAATAAAAGCTTTGGTGTTTTAAATTTTCATTTTTAACATAATTAAATAAAAGTAAAATATTTCAGCAGCAAATGCTGAAGTTTTGGATATTCTATTATTTACTCTACAAATGATTACAGCTAGTATAAGTGGTCAGGTATTGCTTAGTTCATTCATAATCATTGTCACAATTATTATGATAAAGGAGATAATCTACTGTATTTCATTTTGTGTTCATTTGCATTATTTTATAACCATATGATATTTGATGTTTTTGTATATCAGCATAGATATAGCCTAATTAATTCCGCGTGAACAATTTGACTTTTTTTTAGACACTTTTTTTCATGCTGTCAAACCGTTGGAAAAAGACATCGCCCATCCAAAATGATCTTGATGTCTCTTTGACAAGTCTAATTAGTTGGACTGTTGTGATATGATTTAGACAATCTTTAAACTGACTTAAGCGGTAAAAAAAAAACTTGAGAGAGTTTATTTTTCATTACAAAACAAGATATACAAAAAATTATTGGTATACTATGTTCATTCATGAGTGAAAAATTTTATCATAGCAATTTATTGATATCTATAAAATTCTTACAGAATTCAATATGTTTAATTTGAACAAAAAAATGAAAAAAGCAATGTATAAGAAGCTTTGTCCCCTATAACATGTCATGTAAAAGTCACTTAAGTCTTAATACTTCCTTTAAAAACAACTGCCAGTGTTTTAATGACACTTTATATTTATATTGTGCCTACCTATAGTGTATAACAGAGTTTTAAACACAACATAATTTTATACTGGTATATTCTTTGTGTGAAGTCAAAAGATGTTTATTTTATATTTACAAAGAGACTGTGTAGCAATTATCAGTATTATCCAATATCATAATCAAATTTTAGCATAGTTTATCTTTAATAAACTGTCATTTCAGACACAGAAATAGACTGGGTTGCCTATATGCAGGAAGTGGAAGGTGTTATAAATGGAACTTATGATTATATGCAGTTAAAAGGGGACACTGGACCTTTAGTGTAAGGTTTTTTATTGACTAATTTTATTTCACTTCTACTTGAAAGTGTTTACAGCAATATTATCTACCGGCTGTAGAATTTTGAAAAAGAATGATTTCAAAATACTTGTATGAAAGAGACATGTTTGACAACTCTATTAAGAGTAATTTTTGGTAGGAAATCATTGCTTTACAGGTAAAGCCCAAATTAAATAGCTTGATAAAAAATTTTTATCACAGCAGTGTAACAAACCCATTTAATAAAAACAATATTACACTTGTATTATAACACTTTGACATGACATCATTTGCCTTTAATATACAAACACAAGATCAGGTTTACATATGTACAGATCAAATTTATGTTGGTTTGTTTTGCGGGTATGCCCACTTGTAATTAATTTAAAAAGCACTTTTCTGAAAATGTCAGACAAAGTGAACAGAATCTGTTTCAGTTGATTTCAATATAAAGTAGATCTATCTTTTAAAGCAGCATGCCTCAAAATTCATGCTTATTTTCATACAAAACTGTTGAAATTTGAAAATATATTAATTAAGTAAAATATTGTGAAATGAGCAAAGAAATTAATTGAGACATAGTAATTGGCACATACAATTCACTACCAAAAAGAGGTATAAATATGCAAAATTAGCCCTAACTGTAAGTAACACAATAGAAATATTGTGATATATACACCAAAATAAGTCATTTCCGTAATCACATTTAACTTGAAAATAAATTATAAATTGACTGTTGAATCTTTTTACTGTTATTAAAATCTTAGTACACTTTTCAGGATTAATTCTTTTGAAATGTTTAGCTCATCTTGAGGCATGCAGCTTTAAAACTTGAATCCTTTTTATAGCAATATGTTTATTATGTACTGCTTTATGTACTACAATCAGAATGCCATTATTGATACATGTATTATTTTGTTTGTACAGGTACCCAGCTGGTTTTGTGTATATTTTCTCCGGACTTTACTATCTGACAGATCATGGAAAAGACCTCAGGGCAGCACAATATATATTTGCAGTGCTCTACCTTCTATCGCTCTTTGTCATATTTGATATTTACAGGCGTGTTAAAAAGGTAGGTATTAATTTATTATACTGCACATGTAACTTCATGGCACCTTACGTGGAACTTCCCTATGGACCAATAGTCTAAAAACATAAAAATTTGAAAATTTGAATTTTTAGCATAGATTATTCAGGGCAATTGAAAGGGAAATATTTGCAAAAGATGATAATAAATACCCCTATTATGCCTCAGAAATGCTTTTATTTCCATTTTTCAAGCTTTTTATTTTTGATGCCTGGTTGTATTGTCCAAAAAGTTCATCATTGGCCAATATTTCTCCTGTTGCTTTTTGGCAATAAGTAAAGTTATTGTGATTTAGTATTCTGTATGGGTGTCAAAATACTACTTTGTTTACATTTAGATACTTTTATGACCAATAATTTTACATTCAGCAATTCGTTCTTCAGGTTTAAGCCTGTAACATTCTCTTAACCCATTACTTCATATACACGCCTTTTAACGCCTTTTTCACCCCCCCCCCCTTTTTGTTGTCTCAAATGATGAAAAAATGCCTTATTTAGGCCCCAACACTTGTTTTTGTTTGAGAAATGTTGTTAAAAAAAGTGACCTTTTTTCCGGCGCGGCCCCCCGACCAAAAGATACATCAGGGGATTGCCAGAAGGGGGATGTGCCCCCTTCTGTTTGGGGGGTTTGAAGGGGGGCGGAGTCCCCCTCATCGCCAAGAAAATTTTGGACTTGTGAGAGGCTGTAAATGACCCCAGATTGATCATAAGGTAACGTGTAACCAACGCTGAAAAGCATTTGACTCTATCTCAATCCATTGAGAAGTTGCAGCACTTTGAAATCAATTTTGATGGAAAAAATCAATGCAAAATAGTGATTTTTGGCAATTTTGAGATGTCCCCTCGTTGCCATGGTAACAGAAAATTTAAGCCTGAGCATGTTGTTGCAAGGGCAATGGTCCAGTCAACATTTGTGCCAAGTTTGATTAGTGTTGAAGCAGTTTTTATAGTATTATAGCAATTTGAACTTGTAACGGGAGACTTTTCAATGAAAACAGCCATTTTTCACAAAATGCTCATGAAGTAATGGGTTAAACCATATTAAAGCATTATAAAATTCATGTTTTTCCTTTCTAAAGAAGTGAATATTTATTTGGTTCTGAGGCTTAATCATAATGTACCTTTAAACATTACCTTTATTATTTGTTTCTGAGACATAATGTGCCTTTAAGCAATATATTATACTTAAAAGTTAATTGAAAATTCTATTTTTATGTGATTAAATCAGTCTGAGAATCACAAAAAAAGTTTTCAAATTTTAATGATTTTAACTATAATCATTTGAAAATTAAAATTATTCAAATGCTTTAGTCTGGACCTACATCAAGTTGTAGACAAGGCTGAAAAAATATTTCCAGTTCCATCATTTAAAAAATGTCACTGGAGTTCCTTATAAGCTTCCATGTTATTCTGCTAGTTTAGGCAAACTTTGACTCATTAACTGTAACTATTTTTTTGTTCATTTGACAATGTTTTACTTATAAATTCATTTTAAAACTTTTCACAAAAATGAGCATTAATCTGGAGGCTTGCTGCTGTAAAGCTGAACACCTCCAGATGAGCCAAAATATTTCAAGAAAATCAATATTGAGAAAAATGTACTAAAATTTTAAGAAAGGTAAAAAAACATTCAAAATCCAAGTTATATTTTTCAAGTTATGTACAGTTTAAGACTGATTTTGACCAGTATTTTATTACCATATTTCTACTGCGTTACTAACACAGTGAGGGCTATTTTTACATAATTATGTTGACGTCTCTTTGTTAATTTTCTTGTATTGTAAGTGCCGATTGCAATATGTATATTACTTAATTTGTTCGCCTTGCAAATACCTTTCCAAAATTTTCACAAAAAATAACATAAATCTGGGGGCTTGGTGCTTTAAGTGGAGATACTTGACATGCTTGATGTATAAGAAAGTAGTATGTATTTTAAAAGATGCTTTATATGATAAATCTCTTATAATCTCTTTCCTGTAATAACAGTTATTATTGAACATATAAATTAAGATTTTCACATATTGAAATCTTTGATATTTTCAGGTACCACCTTTTGTGTTTTTCTTCATGTGTTGTGCCTCATACAGAATACATTCAATCTTTATACTGAGGATGTTCAACGATCCAGTCGCCATGTTGTTTCTATATTTAGCAATAGATCTCTTCCTTCTTAATAGGTGGTCACTTGGATGTCTGATGTTTAGGTAAAATATGGTTATTATCCAGTAGATAACTTTCATTGTTCTTAAACATAAAATTCTTGTGGGAAATGACAATATTTTATTAACAAAATGGGTAACAAATGTTTTGCAAGTGTTTGCAAGTGTATACTGTTAAGTCACAAAATGTTTACGTTTACAATTGTCCAAAAACAAACTTATTATGTGCGGAAATATTTGCGAAAGTACGAATTCCGGAACTCCCGTCATATAAGCACGGCAATTTATTATGAGCCTTTTGCGTTACTATTTCATAGTGTGAAATATTAAACAACCATTAAATCATGTTAAATGTTGCTTGTATTTATATTAACGGGATATATTTACAAAGTAACTGAAGCACCTGTGGAATGGAAAAATGATAAATGGTCACCGAAGACTTTTCTAAAGTTGATGTATTTTTTGCGGGCTCAATAATTTGTGAATTATTTTGATTCGTTAAAGTCACAAATATATCCATATCGCAAAATGAATCACTTATACAGTAACCTCGCAATATTTTTTCAACAAATTTCATTTTAATGTGAACTATTATAGTATCATATTTCATATCATCAAAATGTTAATTTATATTTGCATTGTTAAAAGATATCCTGTCACATTTTACAAACATTCCGTCAACTCTTTAAATTTTTTTGCTTATTAGGCCAAATGGGAAAAAATTATTTTTTTTGGCATATTTAAGGAAAACATTTTATATTACTCAAAACAGTTCCCATTTTAAAATTTTTATACTTTTAGTTTTGGGGGGTTTCCCTGTGAAGATGAATATAGTTGTTTCCCCCGGGCTCTTTTTGTATCTACAAATGGTCACTCGGGGAAATGATGGGAACCATTAAACTTTCTGACCAAAATGCGCTTTTAAACAGGTAATTTAAACGGACAGAAAATTTATATTTGCTCTTATCAATACCTGTCCTTTTTTGGGCCCCCTACGAAAAAAGGGTATTGCAGGGTTTTTGCATATTTTTTTGACGGGGACGCTTTTGGGTTTTTTAATAAAAATAGCATTAAGAAAACACTAAGTATTAGCGTTACACTATGGGACATCAATGAAAAATGGTTCTTTTGTAGATTTATCTTATAATAAAAATCATTGTTGGTAAATGGTAATACCAAACTGTATTTAGCATTGAACGTTTTTCATATGCTTGAATTGTCTTTAAATGGTAAATTAAAGAAGAGATTGCTAGTTTTATTATTAGTTTTATTATTATATTATATGTTACATATCTAACTATTTAGGCCAATATTTTATGATATTAGTGTTTCAAGATGAGAAAAATGTGCTGTTTTATTGGGACCTACTCCGAGACCCTCAGGAAACCATTGTTTCCAACGACTGAGTTATCAAGCTGCTTACACATTTTCTCCTATGTTTGGTTAACAGTTCTATACTGTGAAATTAGTGCAGATTATTCAAACAAAGGTATATATTGTGCCATTAGGTAAGGGGTCAAAAACACAAATGTTTTTATTTTATTGCCTGTTATTAAAACAGTGACTATTTAAATAAAAGATACATTATATCACATTTTCAGGTTGTTTTTGCATTGCCATTTTTACTGGAGAATCCCTGGGCGTACATCAAGATGTCTTTTAACCTCGGGCGCCAGTTTTTCTATAAATGGACGGTGAATTGGCGCCTGATTCCGGAGGATATTTTCCTGAATAGAACCTTTCAGATGTCATTGCTGCTAGCTCATATAGTAATACTCCTGGCATTTGTGATGATTAAATGGAGAAGGTTTGTGAAAGTTATTCTTATTTTAGAATTGATTGTGTTGAATTTGATCAAGAAATGTGTCATAAACTGATCTTGTTTTGGATTTATAATAATCAATTATCAATATAAAGTTAAAAGTATTTTTAGGGATTTTAATATATTAGAATACAATGAATAGGGATTCAAACAAGTGCTGGCATGGCTGAGTGGTTAAGGCATCAGACTAATCTAATGATTGCTAGCCTCATTGGTTCAAACCGGGGCAAGTTGTTTATTTATTGAGCAAGCCAAGAAACATTACACTCATTGCTCGATACTGGTTGGCTCCAGGAACTGATTTGAAAGTGTGCCTTTTAGCCTTTAGTTTCCTACATAAGCTATCTAAAATGAGTTATAAATATGAAATAAACCAAAAATATTGTGTCTAGTCTGACAGAATAGATGTCAGGCTGATCAGACTTTTAATTATTTTCATTTCTAGCACTCAAAGTTTTACTTGACTCTTTAACAAATCCGTGTATTTTCTTTTGAAGAGTTTACTTTTATAAATTGTTTTAAACTTTTTAGTAAATGTGAAAGATTGAATGTTCTTCAAATTTGTTGGTACTTCCATTTATCTGATTGTCTTTTTTGTTTTGTTTTTTTTTTTGTTTAAAAAAAATATTTGAAAAAGCACATGGCAAATTTTAATATTACAACACAAATTAATATCTAGTTCATCATAGTAATAATTAGCATTTTCAGGACCTGCAGAATAACTGTTTTTATGTTAAGTAATTAAATTTATGCAACAAATACATGAAATATTCCTATAAAAGTAACATAGTTTATTTTCTCTGTTTCAGATATTTACCAAAGATGGATGTCAGTAGCTTTAAAAAGCCAAATATTCACCTGCATCAGATCATAATCCTTTGTTATATAAATGCCTGCTAGCTTGCATAACTTGGGTTTACATCATCGCTTATAACGAAGTAAACCAGATAACTTCTTATATAATTTGATAGGAGTTAACCTGTTACTGCACTGAGGTGACAACATATCTATTAGATATTATTAGGATTATACATGACCCTTACATTTCTGAATTTGTTAGAGGACTTGACCTTGCTCTGTGCTAAGCAGCTGTCAATACAGAGGATTGTCAGTCACCCAGCTTAGCTCATTAGGGAGAGCGTCAGATTTCTTATGAAGAGTCGCGGGTTTTAATCTTGGGCAAGGTGCAGTGTCTATTCTAGGTGGGGCATTGGGGGATTCAGTCATATTTTTGAGAATTCCCCCCTACTTTTTCAGAGGCAGGGGGAATTTTTTTATAGAGAAAGAAGGAAAAAGATCAACAAATCGAGGGTTGACTGCAAAACTGCAGTAACTTATATGAAATAAAGGACTTACAAGTGTTTGTGTTCAACCCTGGAAATGTAATAAATTCTCACTTTTCGATAAAAATTCCCCCAGTTTTTCAAATCCTAGAATAGACACTGCAAGTTGTGATTTCTTTATGACAGTTAGTATTGTGCGTTGAGTCTTTTTATCGTTTCATCTCTCACTGCTCTATTTGGATTACAAATAGGCCACTTACAGAGAAATTAGTAATTACTGTTAAGCTGTCCAAGAAAGTCATTAAAGTGGACTGACTGTTGAGATATGATAAAAAAATGGGTTGTAATTAGCGTAAAAGCTAAACAATTTAGGGCCAGTTTCTAATTTAACTGTCTGTTAAATCCACTAATGCACTGTTAAATTTAACCATTGTGTTAAATTCAAGTGTTGTTACATGTTAAAATGGCAGTTAAAGTGAGCGTTAACAGCAACATAATTTAACTCGATGGTTAAATTTAACAGAGTTTTGAGAAACTGGTCCCTGTAGATGTTCATACTGGACAGATGTGTAGGTTGGATTAACTGTATTGGTGTTGTTTATGTCATTTTATCATTTTATCAAAGAATCTAAAACACTAACAACTTTAAATTTTCTAAAAGAAAAACAAACAATTTTTATTTAAACATTTAGTTTAGATTCCTTAACATTTATTACAGATATTATTACCATTATTTACAGCTAATTTTATAGGAATGTGTTTCAGTAGATCTTTACATTACCAGTTCTATGTGTGGTATTTTCATGGTTTACATTACCTTCTCTGGTCTACAAATTTACCTGTAGTTTTAAGGTATGTATACACACATGTACAATATATTTATATCATTTATTACACGGCAGCAATCCTTCACTTGTAAATATCAGAAATACAAAAAATATGTGATAGTTTTGATCAAGTTTGTTATACATGTTAAGGCAGTCTTACAGTAATTAATGCTTTCCTGCCAAAAAATTCTAACCGGCCAATATCTTAGCAAATCTGTTATTTCTAGAATGTTATTTTTTCAAAATCTTTGACATTAGATTATTTACAATCGCTCATCTTGTACAGCTATGTACTAAATTTTGCTTATAAACAGTTTAAAATTATTGAATACTGAAGATATGTGAAAAATAACGTTCCAGAATCACGATTTATTACGATATTTGCCAATGTTAGAATTTGTTTGGCAGGAAAGCATAACAGTAAGACTACCTTAAGTGGTAAATCTTCCAAGCATGCCCCAGGTAGCCTTACATACACAAGATCTATAAAGAAAAGATAAGATGCAAGTTGTGAATACAAAGTTTTCTTGTATCCTACTTGCATTTCTAGACATTTTTTGACAATTCTATAAAACATATACCTCTTCAAGAATTTTCTTTAAACTTGGCTAAAATGTTTATCTCAACAAACCATGCTAATGCTTTGCTGGTCCATAGTCAAGGTCACCCTTGAAGGTCAAAGATCAGATACCAAACAATTTCATATCCTCTCAATGAATCCTGTAAATCCTGTACCCCTTGAAGGATTTTCCTCAAACTTGGCTCAAACCTCAACAAGGCAGTGTGAAGAATCCATGCCACCTCTGTGAAGTACCAAGGCCATATTCACAAACAGAGGTCATATGTCCTTTACCCCTGACAGGACTTTCTTCAAACTTGGCTCAAGGTGCAAACTCAATGTCAAGGTCATCCTTGAAAGTCAAATATCAGACAATTTTGTGCCTGCTCTTTAAATCCTTTGAGACATTTTTTGCAATTTTGGCACAAATGTTAACCTCAACAAGACAATGTGCAAAACCCATGCTGTCACTGTATTGTCTCAAGGTCACCAATAAAGGTCAAAATTCAAGCATTTTATATCTGTCTATAAAATTTTTAATGTTTATACCTTTCAAATGACTTTTTTCAAACTGAACTCAAATGACTGGTTTTTATAATTTGAAGCAGCATGCCTCCGCATAAACCAAAATGTTTCATGAAAATCAAATTTGTGAAAAATGTACCAAAATTTTCAAGAAAAGTAAAAACATTCAATATTCAAGTAATAATGTTCAAGTTATGTAGCATAAGTCTTTGAGGCATGCTGCTTTAATATCAAAGGAACAGAACATCAATTTAAACTTGATGACATTACCCTAATCTTGTGCCCTGTTATGGCAAAACTTAGTGGAGTCCCTTTAAAATCTGAGTACCATACAACCTTAGTAAAATATCATCAGAATACATATATAAGATTATGATTGAAGCCTATAGATACTGCTTTAGAAAAATTAAACTTATGTTTATTTATACTGGAGGAAAAATTGAAATTCATCAAATAAGACTTTCTGTTTATATTTTCAGGATATTGTTATTAGGTGTTATAGAATTATGTTGGAACACATATCCATCTACAGAATTGAGTAGTTCTATGTTACATGTATGTCACCTTGTGACATTAATTGGACTATGGATGTCTCCAGCATATACCACGCAGAGAAAAACAACATCTGTCCAGAAAATAGAGTGATTCTTGTGAAAATTAGAAAGATAGTATTCAATATATTTGGTTTAATGTTAACACCTACCGGAAAGAAATTCTTTGAGGCAAATAACATTGTAGTCTTCAAAATGAATTTTTGCATTGAAAATCTTACTTCCTTGGGAGATGGATCTGAAAAAGTTAATGTTGATGTAGGGAAGGTTAGAAAACGAGATGCAGGCATTCTTGCATGGAGCTGTACATTACAATAAATCAAAGTTTCAGATTTTTGTTGCCATTAACCTGTTATGGAATTGATTTTGTACAGAGAATATTTCATATACCGTGAATGAGATTTGAGATCTTTAAAGATTGAAATAAGGGTACAATAAGGGTACAAGAAATGGCACAAATAAAATTTGTTTTAAGGTATTCACTACCTTTAAAATGGTTGTAACATGGACTAGAGCCATGACATAATTTATGTGAGTGCTATGTTGTCTTTGTGAAGTGATTTAGAATACAATTCTTTGTAAAGATATGTGATTGTGAATTTTCAATCATAAGATATCTTTTTGGTTTGTTTCAGGAACAAATATAAGTGTTTAAATAAGCTTATATAGCTTCCAACACAATCAAACTAAAATAAATTTGTATAAAATATAAACTCAACTAAGATATCTTTTAAATTCATATCTTAATGTAGAAATTAATTTGTTGACCTTTTGACAGGTATATTTCTAGGATATTTTTAAAAAGTAAAATTTCACTTAAAACAAATGATTCTTAGGAATGCTTTGTAAATTTTGTAGATATCTTGTATATTTATTTTTTGGAAAGGATGTAGTATGTATCAAGATTTTTCAAAGAAATCTTTTCTGTTTTACCAAATCAAAGGATTGACTTTTTGTGGTGTGCGTTTATATTCATAGTTTTATGGTAACTTGATTGGCAGTATTTTTTGTGTTTTAATTACCAGTTGTGTTTAACAAAAGAAGAATAAAGAAGTGCAATAGTATAAATTGATTTTAAATGTTGTTTATTTTTCTTTTAATACCACATCTCTTGTCTACCTTTAAGTAATATGTATTAGTTCAATAAGCCTGGCTCTTTACCATTGTGGCAACATATCATTCCATTGTGGCAACATATCAATTAACACAATTGTCTTTCTACCACTGTGGTGACAAATCACTCGTCTCCATTTTGTTTTACCAGGCTTACTGCTTGAAATAGACGTTATCAGGAACTCGGCAAATGTGGGTTTTTCCAAGCTAATCTGTACTAGGTACAAACTAACTTTTACTGTTATAGCTTCACAGTGCAATACTCGTCACAATTGATAAGTCGACTTGTTTCGCTTATATTCGAAGCTGTAACTGTAAAAAGTTTGTACCTACAGATTTGCTGGAAAAACATAATCACAATTTCAGTTATGGTCTATAACGAGGGGTTTTCAGAGTTCAAGGTAGGAAACACCAGGTTACGGTATATAAGTCATGAAGATATTTTACCATTCCCTTTTACCACACAGAATCATGATACAACAACTAACAAATACATTGGAGTTTGCACATATGGCTTCTTGCGTCATCTGCTTTAGACCTAGTTTGTATCATAAACATTATTCTATAAACTAAAGCCTTCATACTTTCTTGAGGCAAGTTATAATAGGTTTGTTTTTTTGTTTGTTGCTATTATTTTTCTTAGAATAATCCTAAGAGTCAAGGTCAAATTTTCATATTGAAAAAAATGCCTCAACAATGGTGAGTAAACTGTCACACAAGTCCACAAGTATTGGTAAGTGAATAATTCAGAAAGACTGACAAATATTTCTGTATTTTTATGTATTAAGAATATTATAACAATGCTTTATTTATAAATAAACATACAAAAGTAAATGAACAACTAATAGCCAGTACAACAATAAACACATCACAGATTTAGCTAAAATAAAACCAGTTAAAAAACAAGAAAGTCCTGATGGCCCTAGAGTGCTAACCTGAGACCTGAGATCAATTGCTTGAACTCTAGCATGGGGCAAATTTTAAACCCAGGGGCAAAATTTGTACCACTTTAGGAGAGGAACACAAGGTAATGCTACATGTCAATTTATAAGCCTTTTGCACTGTTGTTTCTAAGGAGATTTTACTACAGATTTCATTTATGTTTCACATCGGAACAATGTATATAAGATTTGTTGCAGGTCACCAAGAAAGTTTTCCTGTGAAGTTTGTCAAAATCTTCCATGTGGATGAGCAGAAAATGTTGTTTAATGAAATATCATTCAAAATTTGATGCATGTGATCACAAAAACTCACTTTTGAGCACTTTAGTGCTCAAGTGACTAAAAAAGCACTTGGCAATTATAAAAGAACACATATTGTCAAAATTATTTCTACCGAATAGTTTCTTTAGTAGCATTATTTCACTGAGTCAGCACTGATTGCTATTTATTTCTACAAATGAGGTAGCTACACATGAAAAACACAAGAAAACTTGTGTTTGAAAGAAAAAAATAACCTTGCTTTTATATTATAATTCTAAATCAATAAAAAATTGTGATTTTAAAAATCTTTCAAAATAAATAATTACATTTCTGCAAAAAATTTAATTATGTGGAGAAAATCTAATCGGAATATTCTGTTAAAAAATTTCAATGTAACCTGAAAACATTGGAATTAAAGCTATTCTTACATTAACGATGCTTACACAGGTGTTACAATAATGTAAAGCAGAAATAAGAGTTTGCATTAATTGTACAAAGAAAAACAATTTTCCTTTCCTTTTTAAGAAAGCAATATTTCTGTTATGAAAGCAAAGTTCTTGTTAAGTAAGCATATTTTCTGTTATAGAAAGCAATGTTCCTGTTCAGGAAAGAAATGTTCTTTTTTAAAAAAGCAATGTTCCTGTTTAGGAAAACTTTTTTTCTGTTACAAAAAGCAATGTTCCTGTAAACAAGAGGGCCATGATGGCCCTAGATCGCTCACCTGACTTATCAAACTCATCCAAACAATTACCTAGACAAGCATTCTGACCAAGTCTCATGACAGGTGAGTCAAAAATGTGACCACTACAGTGTTAACAAGAATTATCCATATTTGAGCACTGCAACCTAGTTTTTTACCCAGGTGACACATATTCAAACTTGACCTAGAAATCATTAAACAAACTTTCAGACCAATTTCCAGGATACTTGGATCAAAACAGTAGCAACTAGAGTGTTAACAAGATTTTTCTTTTTTTTGCTCCGGTGACCTAGTTTCACATGCGATTTCGAACTCATCCAAGCAATTACCTAGACAAGCATCCTGACCAAGTTTGATGATAATTGAGTCGAAAATGTGACAACTAGAATGTTAACAAGGTTTTTCCATATTTGGGCGGTGTGACCTAGTTTTTCATCCAAGATGACCCATGTTCGATCTTGACTTAGAAATCATCAAAACAAACTTTCAGACCAATTAACAGAATATTTGGATCACAATAGTAGCCACTAGAGTGTTAACATGATTTTTCTATTTTTAGCTCCTGTGACCTAGTTTTTCATCCAAGATGACCCATTTTCGATTTATTTCCAGCAATGACATAGACAAGTTTCCTGACCAAGTTTGATGACAATTGAGTCAAAATTGTGACCACTAGAGTGTTAACAAGGTTTTTCTATTTTTAGCTCCTGTGACCTAGTTTTTCATCCGAGATGACCCATGTTCAAACTCATATGAGCTATCACCTAGACAAGCATCTTGATCAAGTTTGATGATGATTGATGCAAAAATGTGACCGCTAGAGTGTTAACAAGGTTTTTCTATTTTTAGCTCCGGTGACCTACTTTTTCATCCAAGATGACCCATGTTCAAACTCATCCAAGCTATCACCTAGACAAACATCCTGACCAAGTTTGATGATGATTGAGGCAAAATCGGACCTCTAGAGTGTTAACATGGTTTTTCTATTTTTAGCTCCGGTGACCTAGTTCTTCATCCGAGATGACCCATGTTCGAACTCATTTGAGCTCTTACCTAGACAAGCATCTTGACCAAGTTTGATGATGACTGATGCAAAAATGTGACCTCTAGAGTGTTAACAAGGTTTTTCTATTTTTAGCTCCGGTGACCTACTTTTTCATCCGAGATGACCCATGTTTGAACTCATCCGAGCTATCACCTAGACAAGCATCTTGACCAAGTTTGATGATGATTGATGCAAAAATGTGACCTCTAGAGTGTTAACAAGGTTTTTCTATTTTTAGCTCCAGTGACCTACTTTTTCATCCGAGATGACCCATGTTTGAACTCATCCGAGCTATCACCTAGACAAGCATCTTGACCAAGTTTGATGATGATTGATGCAAAAATGTGACCTCTAGAGTGTTAACAAGGTTTTTCTATTTTTAGCTCCAGTGACCTACTTTTTCATCCGAGATGACCCATGTTTAAACTCATCAGAGCTATCAACTAGATAAGCATCCTGACCAAGTTTGATGATGATTGATGGCTAGAGTGTTGATAAGGTTTTTCTATTCTTAGCTCCTGTGACCTAGTTTTTCATCCGAGATGACCCATTTTCGATTTATTTCCAGCAATGACATAGACAAGTTTCCTGACCAAGTTTGATGACAATTGAGTCAAAATTGTGACCACTAGAGTGTTAACAAGGTTTTTCTATTTTTAGCTCCTGTGACCTAGTTTTTCATCCGAGATGACCCATGTTCAAACTCATCCGAGCTATCACCTAGACAAGCATCCTGACCAAGTTTGATGATGATTGATGGCTAGAGTGTTGACAAGGTTTTTCTATTTTTAGCTCCGGTGACCTACTTTCTCATCCGAGATGACCCATGTTCGAACTCATCCGAGCTATCACCTAGACAAGCATCTTGACCAAGTTTGATGATGATTGATGCAAAAATGTGACCGCTAGAGTGTTAACAAGGTTTTTCTATTTTTAGCTCCGGGGACCTACTTTTTCATCCGAGATGACCCATGTTCAAACTCATCCATGCTATCACCTAAACAAACATCCTGACCAAGTTTGATGATAATTCAGGCAAAATTGTGACCTCTAGAGTGTTAACATGGTTTTTCTATTTTTAGCTCCGGTGACCTAGTTCTTCATCCGAGATGACCCATGTTCGAACTCATTTGAGCTTTTACCTAGACAAGCATCTTGACCAAGTTTGATGATGACTGATGCAAAAATGTGACCTCTAGAGTGTTAACAAGGTTTTTCTATTTTTAGCTCCGGTGACCTACTTTCTCATCCGAGATGACCCATGTTTGAACTCATCCGAGCTATCACCTAGACAAGCATCTTGACCAAGTTTGATGATGATTGATGCAAAAATGTGACCTCTAGAGTGTTAACAAGGTTTTTCTATTTTTAGCTCCAGTGACCTACTTTTTCATCCGAGATGACCCATGTTTAAACTCATCAGAGCTATCAACTAGATAAGCATCCTGACCAAGTTTGATGATGATTGATGGCTAGAGTGTTGACAAGGTTTTTCTATTTTTAGCTCCGGTGACCTACTTTCTCATCCGAGATGACCCATGTTCGAACTCATCCGAGCTATCACCTAGACAAGCATCTTGACCAAGTTTGATGATGATTGATGCAAAAATGTGACCGCTAGAGTGTTAACAAGGTTTTTCTATTTTTAGCTCCAGTGACCTACTTTTTCATCTGAGATGACCCATGTTCGAACTCATCCGAGCTATCAACTAGATAAGCATCCTGACCAAGTTTGATGATGATTGATGCAAAAATGTGACCGCTAGAGTGTTAACAAGGTTTTTCAATTTTTAGCTCCGGTGACCTACTTTTTCATCCGAGATGACCCATGTTCGAACTCATCCGAGCTATCACCTAGACAAACATCCTGACCAAGTTTGATGATGATTGAGGCAAAAATGTGACCTCTAGAGTGTTAACAAGGTTTTTCTATTTTTAGCTCTTGTGACCTAGTTTCTCATCCGAGATGACCCATGTTCGAACTCATCCGAGCTATCAACTAGATAAGCATCCTGACCAAGTTTGATGATTGAGGCCAAAATTCGACCGCTAGAGTGTTAACAACTAAATGTGAACGGACGACGGACGGACGACGGACAATCATTGATCCGAAAGCTCACCCTGAGCATGCTCAGGTGAGCTAAAAACAAGAGGGCCATGATGGCCCTAAGGTCGCTCTACTGTATACAGGCCCCCCCCCCCCCCAACGTTGCAGGGCCAATTTAACCCAAGGGCTTTTATTTGCACAAACTCGGTAGACACCCATAAGAAGATGTTACATGCTAAACATCTAAGCTCTAGCTCATAGGGCTTTTTGAAAGAAGATTTTTTTTTAAAGTTTTTACTATACACATATAGTTAAAAACAATGACACCCCTGGGGCCGGACAAGTTTTGACCCCAGGGCTTTTATTTGAACAAACTTTGTAGACACTTACTAGAAGATGTTTCATGCTTAATATCTAAACTCTAGCTATTTGGGTTTTTTCAAAGAAGATTTCTTAAGATTTTACTATACACATATAAAGAAAATCAATGATCCCCGGGGCGGGGCCAATTTTGACCCCAGGTCTTTTATTTGAACAAACTTTGTAGACACTCACTAAAAGATGTTTCATGCTTAATATCTTAACTCTAGCTATTTGGGTTTTTTCAAAGAAGATTTTTTAAGTTTTTGCTATACACATATAAGGAAAATCAATGACCCCCCGGGGCGTTGCCAATTTTGACCCCAGGGCTTTTATTTGAACAAATTTGGTAGACACCCATTAGAACATGTTTCATGCTAAATATTTTAGCCATAGCTCTTTGAGTTCTTTAAAAGAAGATTTTTTAAGTTTTTAATATATGTATATAGGGAAAATAAATGACCCCCCAGGGCGGGGCTAATTTTGACCCCAGGGCTTTTATTTGAACAAACTTGGTAGACACCTATTAGAACATGTTTGATGCTCAATATCTTAGCCATAGCTCTTTAAGTTCTTTAAAAGAAGATTTTTTAAGTTTTTACTATATGCATATAGGGAAAATCAATGACACCCTGGGCGGGGCCAATTTTGACCCTAGGGCTTTTATTTGAACAAACTTGGTAGACAACCATTAGAACATGTTTCATGCTAAATATCTAAGCTCTAGCTCTTATGGTTTTTTAAAAGAAGATTTTTTAAGTTTTTACTATATGCATATAGGGAAAATCAATGACCCCCGGGGCGGGGCCAATTTTGACCCAAGGGCTTTTATTTGAACAAACTTGGTAGACACTTATTAGAACATGTTTCATGCTAAATATCTTAGCTTTAACTCTTTTGGTTCTTTAAAAGAAGATTTTTTTAAGTTTTTACTATATGCATATAGGGAAAATCAATGACCCCCTGGGGCGGGGCCAAATTTGGCCCCAGGGCTTTTATTTGAACAAACTTGGTAGACACTTATTAGAACATGTTTGATGCTAAATATTTTAGCCATAGCTCTTTGAGTTCATTAAAAGAAGATTTTTTAAGTTTTTACTATATGCATATAGGGAAAAATCAATGACCCCCCGGGGCAGGGCCAATTTTGACCCCAGGGCTTTTATTTGAACAAACTTGGTAGACACCCATTAGAACATGTTTCATGCTAAATATCTTAGCTGTAGCTCTTTTGGTTCTTTAAAAGAAGATATTTAAAGTTTTTTCTTTCGGTTGCCATGGCAACCAGAGTTCTGCATGGAATTAAATTCTTTGAACAATTTTTAAAGGTGACCACCAAAGGAACATTCCTGTGAAGTTTGGATGAAATTGGCTTAGTGGTTTATGAGGAGATGTCATTTAAAGTAAAAGTTTACGGACGGACGGAAGACAGACGGACGCCGGATGAAAAGCGATCACAAAAGCTCACCCTGTCACTTTGTGACAGGTGAGCTAAAAACAATGTTCATGTTTAGGAAAGCTTGGCAATAAAGGAACACATATTGTCAAAATTATTTCTACAGAATAGTTCCTTTCGAAGCATTATTTCACTGAGTCAGCACTGATTGCTATTCATTTCTACAAATGAGGTAGCTTCACATGAAAAACACAAGAAAATTTGTGTTTGAAAGAAAAAAATAACCTTGCTTTTATATTATAATTCTAAATCAATAAAAAATTGTGATTTTAAAAATCTTTCAAAATAAATAATTACATTTCTGCAAAAAATTTAATTATGTGGAGAAAATCTAATCGGAATATTCTGTTAAAAAATTTCAATGTAACCTGAAAACATTGGAATTAAAGCTATTCTTACATTAACTATGCTTACACAGGTGCTACAATGATGTAAAGCAGAAATAAGAGTTTGTATTAATTGTACAAAGAAAAACAATTTTCCTTTCCTTTTTAAGAAAGCAATATTTCTGTTATGAAAGCAAAGTTCTTGTTAAGTAAGCATATTTTCTGTTATAGAAAGCAATGTTCCTGTTCAGGAAAGAAATGTTCTTTTTTAAAAAAGCAATGTTCCTGTTTAGGAAAACTTTTTTTCTGTTACAAAAAGCAATGTTCCTGTAAAAAAAAACAATGTTCATGTTTAGGAAAGCTAAGTCCTCATTTAGGAAAGCAATGTTTTTGTTTACGAAAGCACATTTTCTGTGACAGAAAATAATATTCCTGTTAAAAAAAAACAATGTTCCTGTTGATTAGGAAAGCAAATGTCCAAGAAGCATTTTTTTCTGTTACAGAAAGCAATTTTCCTATTAAAAAAGCAATGTTCCTTGTAAAGAAAACAATGACTGTGTTAAATAAAAACAATCCAGAAGAGGGCCAATAATTATGCTGTTAATACTTTTGACCTAACTTTTCAAGTTTTGTATTTCCTCTTGATGAATATGTATGTAAAGTTGTACATTGTATATAAATGTATATATAATAAATATATTTAAATGAAAAAAGATAGCAATTCCAATTTTTTAAGAAAAATATAATGCCCATCTTAATGTTATATTCTTAAACAGAATTTCACTTAATCCAAATAATAATCATCTTTAATGCCTTTAACTAGTGTATTAAGATTGCTTGAACATTCTTAGGTACAGTCAAACCTATAAATGAGCCGTGTCACAACAAAACCAACATAGTGCATTTGCGACCAGCATGGATCCAGACCAGCCTGCACATCCGCGCAGTCTGATCAGGATCCATGCTGTTCACTATCAGTTTCTCTACTTGTAATAGGGTTAGTAAGCGAACAGCATGGATCCTGATCAGACTGCGCGGATGCGCAGGCTGGTCTGGATCCCCGTTGGTCGCAAACCCATTATGTTGATTTTGTCATGACACAGCTCAAATAAATGAGAGACCATAAAGTTATTTGCCTTTACAGACAAGTGGTCTTTATTCAGAGTTTGCTGTTGTATTTTGGTAAAATAGATGTCTGTATTTACATATTGGCCTTTGATCAAAGGCGGTCTTTAACACACATTAGACTGTATTCATTTAGCTGGCTTTTAATTACTCACAAAACACTGTCAAATCAGCTAAGAGAAATAACATGGAATTAATATGTGTATAATTACCATTGAAGTTTTACTAGTATTAATAAATATTTTCCTAAATAATCTAAATTACCAATTTATCATGCTTAAGTTAAATTTCATATCTACTCATAATGAATCATATCCTGTCTTAATAACAGTACTCTGTACTATGTAAGTGGAGTCAAATATGTGTGACAAAAACAACTGAACAAGCTCTCAAAGTATATTGAGCTTGGCCTATTAGGTAAACCTTGCACAGTTTGATTTACACAATAAACTTGCTCTCCAGTTTGGAAATGAATTTGAACACAAGTAGCCAAAAATATAATTATGTTTTCAGGTCAGAGGTCATATATGTGTAAGATGGTTGAACTGTAAATATATCGCATTGGTAAGTCATTATTATCAATGCCTTAATTACTGGCAATGTAGTACATGTAATCTTAATCAAGATACAGTAGAACCTCACCAATGAGGCCATTTGTGATTCTGAAGAAAAATGGTCTTAATAGTTAAGATTATATCACAATTATTTCAATCATATATTCAAATATCTGACAACAACACATTGTTATAATAGGCCATTACTTTTCATAAAACATTGGTATTATAGGCCATCAATTTTCATGCTAGATTTGTATAATGGACCTGTCCATTTTTATATCTGGGGGTTTCCATATTGGAAAGCTAAAATAGACCAGGTAATGGTATGAAGTATGGTGATACTTCACATACAGGTAGGCTTCCCTGACTTTATGCTGGTTACACTGGCATGTCTTTAACGTTGCCTCTAGCAACCACACAAGTTATGTATTGTTAATGTCATCAAGGCAAATAAACTTCTCAAGGGACACAGGAAGCTGAAGTTCTGCCGCCGTTTCCAGAATATTTCCTTTAATAGATTTACGTACAGCGATCCTACACGCCTGCCTCAATGACATAGGATTAAACACCATTTCTTCTAACATACTCTTCATCCCCGGAGATGCTGATTCAAGGAAAGTCAGAATGTTTGGTTCCCGTGCCAACAAGTGGTACTGGGCACCAGCTGCACATAACATTTTCACAGAACTTGCCTGAAGGCGGGCCATTGCAATGTAAAGTGGGAAAAGAGAGGATTGTGACCCTGCAAGATTTTTATGAAAGTAATATGGCATTCCGGCATTACTAGCTTGCGAGCAGTTTTCGATATCACAGTTTAATTGTAACAATCTTCTCACAGCTGGCAAATTATTTGATTTCACTGCATATATTAATGCTGAATTACCATAGACATCACCTTTATTAATTTTAATACCCCCATTAACGAGCAAATCTATACATTTTTTAATGTCTTGTGGACTCGCATTTCTGCCTTTCCAAAATGCCCTTTCTTGATCGACAACAACGTGAAGACATGTTATTCCCTTACAAAAATCAATACTGTCAATATTGCAACCAGCGTTAATTAAAACTTCCATTGCTCGCCAGTCTCGTAACCTTGCCGTCCATAACAACGGGGAATATCCACTACAGTCTTTTATATTAAGATCTATGCCCTTGAGATTCACAAGATATTTTAAACAATCGTGTTTGCCGTTTTCAACAGCTACGTGTAATGCTGTAGATCCATTCTCACTCTGGTAATTAATTCCGAGACCACACGATAATAGGCATTCCAACATTTCTATATGTCCATACCTGAAATAAAAATATTATACAGGTTATCTCTAGCCCTTATCATGTTTAATATTATGTTAGTTTAAATTTTTTGATCTGTTCATTATGTTTTCAATGGATTTTAATATTAATATACACTGCCCTCCAAAAATTCCTTCACACACCTTTTTTTTCACTGTTTTTCCTAAGTATTTTTATTTGGAAATCAGTACAGATGCTTCAGTGGTTAAAATTATAATAATTTACATATTATCTCCCTTTTTAAGAATAATTTAACTACTATAGTTAGTAAAACAGTAAGATGGGTCAGAATATTAAGTATTTTCTTAGGGTGGTCAAAATCATTGCAAAGAGTATCTTTTCCATAAAACATTCATCCAGTTTGACACATTTTCATAACCTTAATGAAATAACATTTTATTATTTGGATATAAGAGAATGTAAGTTAAAGATTTCAACATTGTCATCATGGTAGCTTTAACTCAAGAACAGCGGGTCACCATCAAGGTTTTACGTGATCAAGGCGTCAATATCAAAGACATTGCAGACCAAATTGGGTGCTCAAGGTAAGTTTTTTTTTCTCTCACTCCATTTTATTGTCTCACTTCAAAGTAATTTCTTTTGCTGTGAAATCTTAGAAATAAGATTTGTTTGAATGTTTGTCTTGGTCTTACTTAGATTTCTTTTATTTTCTTGCAGGCATTCTGTGTATGCTGCTCTGACAGGGTACAACAACCAACCAACATTATAGGTTATAAAATGTCTGACAGGTCATATGTTTCAGTATTAACGATTATTGGCTTATATAACCCAAGCTGGTTAGTGAGGGTTATATTGCAAACAAAAAATGACAAGGTGCAATACTAGTACCTTATAATTATGTCAAGGTATGGCTCAAAAACAATTTTCAAGAATCTAAGAGAATCCTTTTTTTAATTATAATACAAAACTCAGCAAAGGTGGCGCGATAGCTCAGTTGGTTAGACCACTGATTATCACTCCTGAGGTCCTGGGTTCGATCGCAGGGTTATAACCTTGGGATTTTTCAGAGACATTTTCAGTGTTTCCCACCTACCTAGAGGTTTACTGGTAACTTCGGGTAAGAAATCCAGGTAATCCTCGCATGCATCAGTGCTATACACTGGGCATGTAAAAGAACCAAGGGGTCTATTCAATAATAGCTAGGGACTGGTTCCCGGATTCCCTTGTATCTCATAACTGTCTCTTAAAAATGTATACAATGTATACCTGCTTAGAGTGATCGTAAACGTTCTAAAGCAGTATGATGTAGAACTAGAAGGCTAAGCCTTTGGGAGGAAGGAAAGTGTATTATATTACCTGACTGCATGCATAATTCCATTTTCTTCAAACATGCTATCTGTTGCATGAACATCTATCCCATGATTTAGAAGTATCTTCAACAACTTCACATTATTCAACAAAACCACCTGAACAAATGCCAATGACAGTTTATCCATCTCTTGTAAATGTGCCACAAAAATTTCATCCTTTAACAGGTCTTCAACTATATTCTCCTCACCTTCTTTTATAGCCTTGAAAAATCTGCAAAGAAAAGGAAAGACAACATATAACATTTTAGTAAGTTTTTCCATCCTTTTGGGAGTAAGTCCTTGGTCACCAATTCATGAATTCGAAAACCTAGCTTAAGGTATTAGGACCCTAATGGGCACTATAAGGAACTGAAAAATTGACATCATAGGTCAGATGTATACCTTAAAGTACACCTGTATGCAAAATTTAAACAAAGTTTACGGTACGGAAATCAAGTTATGGCCACTTTTCTTAACTCAAGCTAAGATGTTATGAGGGCCCTTTTTTAGAAATGAGGAACCTTTAAATAATCTGTAATAACTTTCTAATGAAAAATGTTTTCCCATTAATTTTTGGTAAGAAACAAATAGTACCATTCAGCTAACAATCCACATAAGCAAAATTATGGTTTCTACATAAAATTTATGAAATCTGTATAAAAATGTTACACTACCCCACCCATTTTTACCACGTGTCTGACCATTTTTCTACTTTGGGAGCCTAATTTAAAAAATTCTTAAAATTTACCCAAATGAGTGCCTGTTTTCAAAGTTTCCCTAAATTTTTAAAAAAGTATATTGGTTGATCTTGTAAAATATGAAATACTTTTACCGTCTAGTTTTGATTTTATTACGCTTTGAAAATATCAGGTATCATATTCATTACTAGATTTAGCATAATTTAGCCAATAAATACCTATATTAATTAAAAAATCAAAATTAAACACTTTTTTCTTTCCAAATGGGACATGAGAAATACATAAATAATGTTAAAAGAAAAAAAGAAAGAAAAAAAAAGTTGACCCTTCTGGGGATTGAACCCATGGCCCTCATTTTCAATGTAGTTAACAGTAGTTCTAGCCTATTTGAATACTCTTCAACGCGGAGGTAATGCATTAGAGTGCTAATACCTTAACACCGTTTTTCGGTACTTTCTGTACACAGCTCTAGGGAATTCATGTAAAGGGCAGGGTGTTCATTAGCCATGAAATCCTGAGGGTCATTTTGACTAAGTTTTACCTTCTACATGGTCAAATCCCCATGATTTTTATAACAAAATTTGACCCTCTAGTTAAAATCCTTAGGGTCAAATCAGGCCTTTTGGAAATTTGAAGGGTCAAAGAGTCATTTCAAGGGTAAAACGGACACTCTCAAAGGGTGTGTATGTTTTTGGCATTTTTTGGATTAAAGTGTAATAGAACAATCATTTATTTTAAGAAAATAATTAAATATCACTTATGAATAATTCAATGCAAAAAATAAAGTAAATTCAGAAGTTTATGCTGAAAATATCTCTTTTTTTACTGTGGCAGATGCAACAACGACTATTTAAATTTTCCAGATTTTTATTATTAACAACTTTTTTTTTATAAAATTTGCGATAGATCGTACAGGAACATTATTGACAATTTTCAAACACATCAAGTTTTTCAACCATAAACGGTAAAATAATGATTGGAAAAAATGGAAATATCACATAATAGTGTTATATACTTCATTGGGTGTAGGCTAATTCCTAAGAGGTAAATCCGTAATATACCGGAAAACAGTCTTTAGCTAGGTTTTCGAAAAGGTCAATGAATTATTGATATCCATAAATTTGATGTTTATTGGTAGATAAACTGATAGGTAATATTTGAAGCTTTTGAGGACTTTCTCTTACATGTCTTACCTGGATTCATCCTGTTTAAGTCGAAGATTTTCGTCAGCTCTCTGTTTTCTTTCCTTTTTAAATTTCCTCTCCATCTGGAATACACTGAATGTCATCAATAAAAATATACCCATCAAATAAAAAATGTATTCACGAATTCGAAAACCTAGCTAAACGCCGTTTTCCGGTACTTTCTGTACATAGCTGTGGGGAATGCACCTAATGGAGTGTAATAGCGAACTCGTTGTGTTCCGCCTTTTTTCATTTTAAATTGAAATAAAACAGTTATTTCTTTATAAGAAAATAATTAAATATCATTGTATGAATAATTCCGTATAAAAAATAAAGTAAATACACAAGTTTATGCAGAAAATAACCTTATTTATTATGGAAGATTCCACTACGTCTGTTTGAATTTTATTGATTTTCATTATAAATAATTTATTTTTTTGAATAATTTGCAATAGATATTAAAGGAATATTGATAATTTTCAAAAACATCGATTTATTTCACCTTAAACAGTTAAATAATGATAGAACTAGAAATGTGTCCATAGGACACGTGTGCCCCCACCATGACACTGTTCTGTCAATCTTTTTACAAAGTCAAGGGAAATAACTCTACAAATACTGGATAAATCCACAAGCAAAACCCCAGGTGCAAATCTAAAATATGCTGAGCAACCTGCCCATAAGGTTTAATGACTATGTCAAATCCTTTTTGAGAAACTTGCAACACAAGCTGAAAATTGCAAAAATTTTCTAAGTGAAGGGCAATAACTCTAAAAATACTAAATAAATCCAGACGCAAAATACCTGGTGCACAAATGCACATGCTGCTCAACATTCCTGTAAAGTTACATGACTCTAGGTCAAATACTTTTTGAGTTACGTGCGACACATGTTGAAAATTTCCAAATTTTACTAACTCAAGGGCAATAACTCTGAAAATACTTAAATTATCCAGAAGAAAATACCCAGCTGCACAACTACACATGCTGATCAACATTCCTGTAAAGTTTCATGGCTCTAGGTCAAATACTTTTGAGTTATGTGCGACACAAGTTAAATATTGCAAAATTTTACTAAGTCAAGGGCAATAACTCTGAAAATAGTCATAATATCCACACAAAAATACCCAGGTCTACAACAACACATGCTGATCAACATTCCTGTAAAGTTTCATGACTCTAGGTCAAATACTTTTTGAGTAACGTGTGACACAAGTTGAAAATTGCAAAATTTTACAAAATCAAGGGCAATAACTCTGAAAATACTAAATATATCCAAACAAAAATACCCAGGTGCACAACTACACATGGTGATCAACATTCCTGTAAAGTTTCATGACTCTAGGTCAAATACTTTTTGAGTTACATGCGACACAAGTTGAAAACTGCAAAATTTTACTAACTCAAGGGCAATAACTCTGAAAATACTAAAAATATCCAGACGAAAATACCCAGGTGCACAACTACACATACTGATCAACATTCCTGTTAAGTTTCATGACTCTAGGTCAAATACTTTTGAGTTACATGCGACACAAGTTGAAAATTGCAAAATTTAACTAAGTCAAGGGCAATAACTCCGAAAATACTAAAAATATCCAGACGAAAATACCCAGATGCACAACTACACATGCTGATCAACATTCCTGTAAAGTTTCATGACTCTAGGTCAAATACTTTTTGAGTTACGTGTGACACAAAAGTGAACGGACGGACAGAAGGACGGACGGAAGGAAGGACAGACGGACAAGGGTAAATCTAAATGCCCGCCACTAATGTAGGGGCACAAAAATAGAAATATCACTGTAACTGTGTTATGTACTTCATTTGGTGTGATTCCCCAGAGCTTAAACGGTAACATACCGGAAAACGGTGTTTTGCTAGGTTTTCGAAAAGGTCAATCTTAACAGAATTTCCAAAAATGATGTTAAGTAAACATTTGTATGTAACTGTTTTATTGTATATTTTATCATTGATTTGTTTTTGTTGAGTAAAATAATATATATGACACATATAAATGATGTATTAAATCTTTACTGTCAAATGAATGAGCAAATGTCAAAATGTTCTAATAATTAACATAGGGAATGTTGTGGACTATGCCAAAATATTTTAAGACCCTGACGTTGACCAACTCACATTTCTTATAAAACATCAGATAAAATGACAAGTTTATTAATATTAAGCTGCCGGCACGTATACTGTCAATGTCAACATTCAACTATATATTTGAAAAAAAAAAATTAAATTTATGACGAATTATGTCGTATCCGAAAAGTAGTTCACTTTGCTTTCCTTGAAACTAATGACAAACAAATTTCTGGCAATAAATATAGCTGTTCAACATCAAAACTTACTTTTAATTTTCAATTGGTTTGTCAATATACTTGCTTCAGTGAATTATAAACCTTTAATTGGAACATTTTAATCATTTTGATCCATTGCCTCGATAAATGCCGTGTCAACTTTCCGTATGCATAGCTAAACTCTGGTATCTAAATACAAAATTAGACGGGCATCCAAAATTAGTATTAAAAATTCTTTGTTGGAAAATAAACCATGTTAAATTTCATGGAAATTTTGAAAATTTATTTACAAGTAAAATCTTGTGAGGTGAACAAATAAAGTAGCAATCTGCACTTGCAATCCAATGAAATTACCAAAAAGTGGTCCACAAAAAATATGCAAAAAAGTGCTTACTGTATTAGTAACACAGTAGAAATATGGTGATAAAATGCTGTAATATCACGCTTAAACCGCACATAACATGTAAAATATTATAACTTGGATCTTCAATATTTTAACCTTTCTGAAATTTTAGTATATTTCGTAATATTGATTTTCTTGTAATATTTTGGATCATCTGGAGGCGTGCGTCGAGATCTGTAAAGCCATCATGGCGTTCTACTTTTTATTTATTCATTAAAATGGTTATAAGTGCAGTGTTATTGTGATTAGAATAAACCATAGAAATGCACGGTTTGATTTATTGATCCAGCAAAACAACCGTAAACATGCATCCAATGAAATGGGTATTCATAAAATAGATAGATAATATATAGATCTCAGCTAGTTCAGAACCCTCCATGTTCAATTCCAGAAAAAAAGCTTTATTGTGTTTTGTAATGCAACAATTCACGGATATTGACATTGATAAATAATGACTGCTGCTAAGTGACTTAAAGATGCAAAAGGTGCATATTTCAATTAATTGGAAAGGCAGCGCTTGTTATATATAAATATGTCGTAATATTAGTTAAGTCCTTATTCACCATGGACCTCTACACACTTATACGGCCTCGGAATTCATTCCGAAAAAAACTTATATGAACTGTTTTTTGGGTAAACTATTTATACACTGATAGAGAATGCTTCCAGCGGCACTACGGGTTTCGAACCGGCGAAGGCAAGATATGATGTATGGATTTAACCAATTAAGTCACAAGGAGTGAGGTCGGGACTAAGCAGGATGTAGCAAAACCTCAGTTTTGTGCTGTTTTAAATGAGCTTGAACCAAGGCTTACCGGTACGAAGGTGCATCATGGAGGAATATGATCCTGCAGACCATAGGTCTTCTCAGGCACAGCGACACAGGCCGCTATTCCATCTTAAAAATAGAGCGTACATAACTCTTGAAGCTCGCTGTTTTCACCTACCCACATTTTGCTACTGGGTTTATTGTCGGGCTAAAAAATAGCCACGTTTCATCCCCTGTGACAATTTCTCTTAGGCGTCTGGGGTCTTGATCTCTGAACCTAGTCAATAAATCAGAGGCTCTTTTCAACCCACTCTTTTAACTTTTTTCTTTCACGATAGAAAACACATATGACGCGCTAAGAACTGATATGTCACTGATCTCCTCCACAATATATCAACTATAGCTTTGACAGTTTCTTTTTTCAGAGGTAGCGCCGACATGGGGGTATCATTTTTATCATTAGTTCTAACTTCGTTAAACATTGATACCCACTTGTAAATTTTAGATAAGGAAGGGCATTTTTTCCATAGACTAAATCTAGATCTGTTTTTATTTCTGACGCACATTTTTTTGCAATAAGCTCTGCTCCTCTCCCAAATCACAATGCAAATAAGCCATGTTAACAACCAGTATACAAAACCACATGTTTTTAAATGAGCTGCTAAGATTTTGTGCACGTGCAATTCGTGGGAAATTGTAATGTTGGCTAGAAAACCCGATAATCTTTCCAACTGTATCTTATCCATGTATTTTCATATGCAAATCATTATTAAATTGATTCGTTGCCATTAATTATTAAAATATAACCCTCGTATTTATCACATGACAGCTGCTTCGTATAAGCTATCTTATTGTTTAATTTAAACTTGGCAAAGCTCAACAAAAATCTCAATAACTTAGCCGTTTGCATGTCCATATTTGATGATTGTTTAATTGTGATGCTTCCCACAATACTGTTTGCATCTTTAATAACATCTGACAACGAACAGCAAGCTAATGTAAGAAAGTGACGACGCACAAAAATAAGAAAAGACGCTATACGCAATATATAAACGGATAAGTAGAATCGTGCAACGGTTCAAACACAGAACTACCTAAATTCAAATAAAGAATGGCTGGGTTACTTTACTATTATTACAAACGCCGAATTGTTAGCTGCCAATGAAAAAATATATTCATGTTAGGGAAAAGAAGTGTTCATGTCCTCAAAGGACAAAGTGTAATGTCCTCAATGTATTGTGTATGTATGAGTCCACACTTGTCACATGACCTCATTTGACAAAAACCCCAGTGCGAAGTGTGTGAACCCGTTGTCCCCTCTGTATGGTAAAACACACGTTCTTAACTATAACATGAAGAATGATTTTAAATAGACGAAAAAAATTCAGAAAAAAATTCAATGCATACCAAAAATTAACAGCGTATATCACCTGGAAGATCGTGTCCTCATTTACACGTGTAAGTCAGATGTCCTCATTGTACACCTTGTGCACGTATGTGTGTGTTTGTATGTGTGTTATATAGATTATATTGTAAACTTAAAAAAAAAACTTCTTGTGAAAAACCACTTGTCCAATTTCAACCAAACTTGGCAGGATTGTTCCTTGGGTAAAGGTCTTCAAAAGTTGTTCAACGAATTTCATTCCATGCAGAAA